AGTATGGGACTCTGTTCTGAAAATGGCTGCCAGTCAATGAGTTAAGTGCTGTCTTGTTGGCAAAAGAGGGTTGTACAGAGTATTAAGGAGCATTTTTAGAAGACCTCGACCACATCTTAAACAGGGGTGCCAATAACTGTGGAGGGCACCGTTTCTCCATTGATCGTTTCTGACCTGGGCGAATATCTTGTTGAGCCTCATCTGCTCGGCCAGGACGCTGACGTTGTGGAAAAGGTGAGGCTGCATGTGGCTCCACATGTGAGGGAACCACCAGAAGTCCATCCTGTGCTGCAGCAGCATGTCGTCCCCCTGGTCCTCCTCATCCGTACCTGGAGAAAACACCAAAACACCAAACAGAGGTTCAGGGACATAACCCACAGCAAACGCTACGTCTTAACACTTTCTGACACTTGCAATGATGAGATACCTGTGTGGTAGAACTTTCCAGAAAATCCCAGGTTGAAGGTGAAATCAGGTACCAGAGCTCTCATCTTATTTTGCGTGTTGAGCAATGCCTGGGGGGGTGGAAACGTATAGTTTTATGTCCAATCAATGCATTTCTAAACCTCAAATGAACCTTCCTTTACAGCAATACAGTTGAGAGCAACATTGTTAAACTCGTACCCTTTTACTTTAAAAAGGGAAACTGTTTCTAACAAAAACATTCAAATGGGTATGTTGATTGTGAGGAATCCGGCTTATTTACAGGATTATATACTGTGTGATATAGCGTATAATATAGTATTACATAAAGATTTCTTCAAATTAAACTTGGTAAACTGACTAAAATTAAATATATACGCATATGCTGGTTTGGAGAAAGACACTAAAGAAAAAGACAAACAAACAAAAAACTAAACAGTTAATTGGATTACCTGGCAACAAATTTATCATCTTAATCAATAGTATCTGTCACTTGCGTCAATTTGTTCTATTTCTTGTAATTATATCAGTAATGATGGAGCCATTGATGTCTGCATTAGAGAATACAAACTCAACATTTTATTCTCAATTCTGATATTTTAACTGTGGACCTGGTAGGTGAAATGGGGAACACAAATCAAGCTGCACTTAAATCTACTAAAAACAACAAAAGCTTAAGAAAACCTGGTAAGTTTTCTTCATGGTTTTACATTTATAAAGAATCTAAAAACCAATTGAATGTCAAGTTTTTGTTTCCTGGATCACCCACCTCCACATCAGAGACCTTCATCCGGGTTCCTTCCTTTCCAACAAATATGTCGTCCACGTCCACCAGGATGTGGCGGTCCAGGGACAGACAAAGTCTTTTCCCCGTTAAGTAAGCAATGGCGTCCACAAACACCAACTTATGGAGCCAAAAGTTGA